CCTACAGCCTAGAGCAAATCCATCTCTAATTTATTCTTAATCTTCTGGCCAGAATTGAACTAGTTTGCTGGTTTTGCGGGACGCCGCTTGCATCCCTATTCATGAACAATTGCAGTCATCGATCCATGAGACTGCAAGTTGACCACGGTACATTCTTTGTGCCTAAAGACTATCAAGAACTAAATAAATGCCAGCGATCCAATGAAACATGTGACTGATCATCAAACCACCTCAAGTTGGCCTTTGATCTCGAGCATGCAACCAAAATGGCAGGCCATGTGGCCGTGAGCTAGTCAAGTACTTTCTCCGTTGCAAACCGTGAGGCGCTCACACATCACAACACTTAGTTTTGACAAAAAAAAAATAGATAATTAATACGTGAGTTGACACACAAGTGATATTAACTATCCCAACATCCTTTCTGTATCGCTTGTTGGTCAAACCTAAATTTTGACATGCACGAAAGGCCTTACATTTTGCGACGAATTAAAGTACTGGGTGCACGTTCAGTGCTGCCACTCCTTCCAAGTTCCAAAAAAATGGAGAAGGGCTTCTAGCGATCATCAAACATTATAGAAAAGACAGATAGTGGTGTATTCTAGCAACAATGAAACATTCTAGAAAAGATTGGCTAGTGTAATACAGTTAAGCATCCCTGCACAAATTCAGCTAAAACCAATATGAACATAAGAGAGAAAATTGACAAGATTCAGTTGTGCATTTGTCTTCTTATTTCAGGTTCCAGTTTCAGTAGATTTTGATAGTTTTTGTTTTTCCCATTGCATCGAATTAACCTTTGACATAATGTGCCAATTTTCTTTCGAAATTTTCATGACCACTAGAAAAACTTACCAGAGTCGATACTTAGAAAAAACAAAAAAGGTATTTGTACCAGTGGCACTTCCTCTTGACTGTTGACCTGACTTCACACTGTGTGCATTCTGCTATTATATCCAAAACAAAGAGGTGACTACTTTCGGAGAGAGAAAAAATAGTTGGCAACTTTCAGAAAGAAGAAACAGTCGACCACTTAACTAGTAGCTCATCACTATTTTAAACACCCGCTGCACCTCAGATCCTTGTTAACCTGTTCAAATTAAGATAGCATCAAGCGGTAGCACATGGACAAGTTTCGACACTGTTCGAAGGCCGTGGTTATACAATTCGCGAGGCCTGTTCGTTCAGAGAGTTGTGGGAAATGGCAACACTACAGAGTGCAGACCCCATGTATCAAACACATACATTGCTCATCCAGCAGCGCCAAAACACTATATCCATGCACTATCATTCATGTTTTAACAGTTCAAAAATATATATGATTGCCAGCAACTGGTCGCTGGAGCAACTACTTCTGGACGTTACCTGAGCAACTACTTCTCTTCGGATCAATCCCCTCCGGCGTCCTTCATGTTCACAGTGAACACGTATTCCTGATCAATGCCCAGATAGGAATCTGACATCAAGAAAACCATGAAATCCTTCTTCCCTGCTTCTGCGGGGGCAATGAACTCAAGCTTCAGGCGAGCCCTCTGCAGCACTGCAACCCACTTGATTGCCAGCAACTGGTCGCTGGAGCTATCACCAATCAGGAGCCACCAGCCTTCCAGCCTGGGCTTAGGATACCTCGGGGCATGAACTGGCCCAACCTCAGATGGCAAGTTTGTCATGTCACGCTCTAGAGTAACCTGCAAAGTTACATTGCCAATGGCTCTAATATCATCACCTTCAAGGACTTCATATGCCATTTCGATATCCGGGAACCGTTTGACGAATCCGATGATGTCCTTAAGCTGAGAGTTTGGTAACTGCAGCAGATTCTGCATCTTGTCTGCACTCATCTCAGCAAGATCAAAGATGTTCTCAATGCCATTTTCCTGGCATCTCCCAGTTAACTCCTTGGTGAAGTGGGGGAGTTGAAGCAGCACAGAATCACGATCCCACATGCCTTGTGTCACCATCTGACTAAGCTCCATTGCCTTAAGAGCCAGGCTGAGCCATCCATTGCTGGAGATAACATCAACCAATGACTTGATCAATCTAGGTGCAGGAAGGAGTATCTCCCGTTGGTCGGCTGCCAGGTTCCTTACAGCCGTTTGCCTCGAGAAATGTGCTTGCAGCAACGCGTTCGCCTTGACGTGTACATCATAATTCTTAGAATTCTCACCAAAAAATCTCTGGTGACGAACTAGCGTCTCAATGGATTCTTCCTCACCTCGGCAACTTGGAAGCTCTGCATATTCTGATGAAGAAGCTAGAATCTCCAGGAGACCTTTCATCTTAGTCTTCCGGGTTATCATTGAACTGAACCGTTCGATAGTCTTGTAGCTGATGTAGTAGTACGAGGCTATGAGACCAAGGTTGAGGGGCTTAAGATACGTATCCTCCTCTATAACCACACACTTGCTTGACTCAAGGTTGTCCAATACTGTCTCCACTAGCTCAGAAAGATGATCAGACACATGCCTGTGACCTGTTCCCTGCAGATTAGTAGTTAGGGTTCTTGGTCAGCCTCCGGTACATGAAAGTCCAAGTAAGATAATCCACAGCAGCTTGCTTGTTTTCCACAACACCACAAACAACTTCAGCATTCATATGATCATGCAAATTATGGTGTAGATGGCTCTCAACAGGGAAGGCCTCTGAAAGGAACTTCCTGCAGTATTCCTTGCGAGGTGCATGGCACAATATAACACATTTCCCTGAGTTATCTTGAAGAGGCCTGCTGGCATGACCCATCATTTGTAGCAGATCACTGACTGGATAGTCAGTGACACTGCCCCACCCATCAGAATACTGTGTTCCCATCACAACAACCAAATGGGAAGGCAGTGATCTTCCCCAGCACATTGTGCTGCTCACGACGCACACTTGGATCTTCCCACAAAGGAACAGCTGAGTCACAACTTCCTGATCAAGATCACTTAGAGCCTCATGCAAGTAGCCTACACCACATTTCAGCGTATTTACAAGCGTTTCTTCATTGACACCTCTCGTGTACGTATCTATCTCATCTTCTGACCCAAGAAGGAAAGGTGTTCCACAACCTTCAGCATTTGAGTATGCGCACAAGTCCAACGCAGTAAACCTTGCATGCTTCATTGCCGGTACAAATACCAGGGCAGGCTTACCATGCTTTGCATGTTGTCTGATAGCATTGTACGTAGGCTTTGCCATTGCTTGCATCCTTGCCTCAAAGTTTGCTATGTCCACACCCTGAATGTGTATTTCTAAAGGTACCGGCCGCACTGCTGGAGGGAAATTGAAAAGGCCATGAGAGGTGGCACCAATCCACTCTCCGAGATCTTTAGCATTCGCAAGTGATGCTGAAAGCGCTACGATCCGGATGTTGCTGCAGGTATGATTTGCAATACGCCTCATCCTTGAAACAATGATATCCAAAACATGTCCCTTCTCAGATCCAATTAGGTGAAGCTCATCGACAATGAATAAGCTGACCTGTTGGATGTGTTTCCTCTGCTTCCACCGGCGTGAGAGTGAATCCCACTTCTCAGGAGTGCTAATAATAATCTCCCCTTTATCAAGAAGCTTCAAATCACGTGCAGTTTCACCAGTTAGCTCAACTACACGGGCGAATTCTCCAAATTTCATCTCCCAGTCCCTGTATCTTTCTTTCGCCAGAGCTTCAATAGGCGCTATATACACAATTCGCATGTTGGTTTCACTAGATACTGCCGTTTGATGGTTCCTTAGTATCGCAAACTCCGCACATATGGTCTTCCCGCTGCCTGTTGGCGCAGCAACCAAAACACTATCATCACTGTTATACAAGACACTGAACACTTGAGTCTGAATGGGGTTGAAATGTTTCCAGGCACTATAAAGGCCTTCATATCGTGCATTCCTCAGTGCGGTAACAGGTAGTGGTTGCAGATCAAGCAATTCGGTTGGTGGAGCATGTTTGTCTGGAAGAACCAAGTGCCTAAATGAGACTGGAAGAATTGTCCGAGATCCAAGCCACTTGTCAGATACGACATGTATGAAGTACAGAGGGGGCAGTGGCTCATATATTGGCACTGTGAAATTAAGTGTATGATCTTCATTCAGCCATTGTTTCTTAAGCATGAAGTATTCATGGTGAAGAATGCACTCGCTATCATTGTCCTCGACTAGAATCCAAAAAGGTTCAACATATCCATGTATCTTATCATCCCACTGGAAATCAGCAGTTAGAGTCAGCTCAAAACCCAAAACTGTACGAGTAATAGGTTGAACATGGGATGAAAGGTTCAACTTTGGTAACTGGTGGATGCACTGGTGTAACCGCCTCCCCATCTTGGGATAACGGATCAGCTCACCAATTTCCTGTGATGATAGGTCAAAGTACCTCTCCCAAGCCAATTCCTTTTTCTCCAGTTTCATCAGGATTTCATTCGGAATGCCAGGAAACTGGCGCAAAGGATTTTGGACACTCCACATCTGCTTATCAATCATCGTGCAAAGATTCAGAGCCTTCTCTGCTAAGTTGAGACCATCCTCTCTTCAAAACTATCTCAAATATTGCTCGTGAGAGGCGACCAGCACTCTGCATCATGGAGAAGAATATAGATATGTAAGAACAACAACTAAATAAGCAAGCAATTCAAATCAGGAGCTGCATTTAGAATGGGGAACATGTTACCTGTTTGATATAGATCATATCAGAGCCAAGGGAGAGACCCTCTAGCTTAAGCCCAGAAATATATGCTTGCAGCAGAACATTGATCTTTGTGCTGGGCTCCTCCAAGCTCTCTTTCACAGGAATTGGCACACGATCCAAAAGCTTTTCCAGCTCCATCTTCTCATCTTTTCTGACACTAACATACTTAAATTCTTCACTAAGAGAGAACAATTGGCACAGCTCAATATAACCCATTGTAGGCTTCAGGTACTCGTTGTAAGTTGAAATAGTCCTGTGACTAATATAGTAATAACTAGAAATCCTCCCCAGGTCAGTAGCCTGAAAGTATCCAGTTTTCTTATCATACTTTATCAAATTGTTCCTATCCAACAGATTTGCAGCTGAGTGTACCTGCAGCAGCACAGAAGTACAGGAATCAGCAGTGGAACAGGAGAACAATATTTTCTCTCTCGAGAAAATGCAAAGAGATTCTTGCGTTTCTTTGTATTGAAAAGATAGGGTTTATGTTACAACCCTCCTAGGAGGTACAATGAACAATATTAAAGCACAAGCATGCATCACCTTACGAGTATATGGATGTAACACTTCCCTACAGCTTTGCACTAGTATCAAGATTGCGAGTTGACTACTTCAATTAACCAAGTTTCTATGCTACTCTACGAACACTTCTAGAGACAATACTCTGCTCCAAAGAGACAGCAGAACAAAGTATGAACCCATACAAGCAGAGGCACTTTTTGCTGTTCCCAGGGGTAGCATCCAATTATAAATTGTACTCCCTCTGTCTCATAATATAAGACGCTTTTTGACACTACACTAGTGTTAATGTTAAAAAACGTCTTACATTATGGGACTGAGGGAGTACCTTTTACTATGATGCTACTGTATAATTTGATGTAGCCATTTCACTGCATGGGAAATAACTTCATGCCAATTTAGTATCCTGTAAAGGCGCAAGGACGACTTGCTACATTCCATTGAAAACATAGAATTGTATGAACGTAACATTTCATTGTACCCAGGAAAATTTTCAGGAGAGATCATTTATGCTCAACAACCGTTGGACACTAGGATTCAGAGAGGCCACAAACATATTCGGACACAGCTTAGAAAAAACCTAGGAAACAGGTGGCAATACAAACATGAAATTTGAGGACATATTCAAGCACAATAGCCAACACAATTTGAGGATAAAGAAAATAGACATGTAACTACTATGAACCTTAAAAAAACAGAACATAAGTTTGGCATGTGCTTACCAAGTCGGCTCTCCTTTCATCTAGTGTTCTGTCTCTCTCTATGATATCTTCAGGTAGGCCATACAATGTTGGATTCCGGAGCATCCGGATGTAGAGGTAAGTGTAGCCAAGCCACGAGCATGCCTCCTGGGCATTCTGAACAGTTCCCAAAACAATCTCTGCATTTAACTGATCGGCCAGTTTGGATATAAACTGACTCTCAATAGGAAGCTGTTGATTCATAAGAGACGGGTAGTATTGCAATTCACTGTGGCTTGTTAAGATTATACCCTCTCCATGTGTGTCATACTGAGGCCTGCCTGCACGACCAAGCATCTGCATGGCATCCAGTGGACTTAGTTCTGTCCAAGCGCCCTTTTCTGAATTGTAAATTTGGGTACCCTTTATAATAACAGTGTGTGCAGGTAGATTGACACCCCATGCGAGAGTGGCTGTCGAAATAAGGACCTGTATATGCTTATCAACAAAAAGTTTCTCAACAAGTTCACGGTCTACCCTTGCCAAGCCAGCATGATGAATAGCAAACCCATATGGCAAAAGGTCTTTAAGGTCACTACTTTTGACAAGTTCTGCATGAGCACAAAGGATCTCTTGACTTGCACTGTCATCCTTCAGAAAGCGAGGCAACACATCATTAGCCAATGCAGTGTCTCTGATGGCACGAGCAGTTTGCGCTGTCTCCTTCCTCGAGTGCACAAATATAAGCACTTGGTGCTTACCAGCAGCAGCCATAACCTTCTCATAACAAATCTCATTCATCAACTGAAACCTCTGCAGTGGCTTCTTCGCTGTGATCCCGATGTACTGTTGAGCTAGAGGGCAAGGTCGGTAACTGTTATCAAAATGGAAGAGACCGTCCGAACGAACACGCAAGAATACCGCAATATCTTCATAATTTGGGAGAGTTGCAGAGAGGCCAACTAGGCGGATATGTTCCTTGGTCGTTTCAATCTGCCGTACTGTTCTAGAAACAATACTCTCCAGAACAGGCCCTCTGTTATCATGGAGTAGATGGATCTCATCAATGATTAGAAGCTTTACCATTTGAGTATAGATTCTATCACCTGATTTCCTTGTGACAATATCCCATTTCTCAGGTGTAGTGACAATTATCTGTGTCTCATCAATCTGTTGTTTGGTCAGGTTCTGATCTCCACTAAGCTCGCTAACAGTGACATTGTACTCTTTCAGCCGCGCTGACAAATTTCCAACAACTTCAGCAACCAAAGCTTTCATTGGGGCCACATAGACAATTTTGTACTTTGTATTATCAAATTCACCATCCTTCATATGCAAACCAATTTGCTGAAGAATTGTAAGCACAGCCACATTGGTTTTCCCAGCACCCGTTGGAGCACAGAGAAGGATGTTATCTGGTTTGTAAAGGGCAGTATCATAAACCTTGCTCTGCACTCTATTAAGTTGAGTCATCCCAGCAAAAGCTGGTCGGGCCCACTCTGGCATATCAGATATCTTCACAATCTTCTCTGAAGATTCATATGGCATAGGTGGCAAGGCTGGCACATGGACTTCCTCGTAACCCCTCTGAGGGGTTCTAAATGATCCTGGAGGAAGTTCACATTTTTTGTTGGACATCAAGAGACTACCTTGGTGGAAAGAAAGGTTATCAAGATCAAGCAGCTGCCTCTGGCCTTTAAACCATCCACTTTTGATATCAACTGTCTTACTATCCCTCGCACCATCAGTCCCAGCGCTGTCATTGTTTAGGAGCCTCTTAGCCTCATCCCTGATACTTCTCTCCAGATTCTTCTGCCTCTCCTTTGCAGATGCTCTCGTTGCATGTAGCTGCTCCAAAATTGGAGCTAATCTTGGGTTACTCATCATCTCTTCTGCTATCTTCTTCCGCTGTTCCTGATCTTCAGCCCTGGCTAAGAAGGTACACCAAACTATCTTGAGTCGGTTGTGAAGCAGCAATTTAATGAGATCAAAATTCTCGTAGTCCAGCAGCGTGACAAGCCGATTCTCAACATCTCTGTCGTCACCCTCAGCGATCACCTTCAAGATCTCCTCGGCAAGCTTCTGGCTGCGCTGGGGGTCAATATCTTCATATGCTTGTGATATCTTCCTCTGAAGCCAGTAAGCATCAATGTCTTGCACGTCTAAAGTCGGACCCTTGTTGCAGTTCTGCATATCATCGTCATACAACTCACCATTCGTTTGCATAGTTCCAGGAACGTTCAACTCGACAAAGTCATCCTCATTCTCATCATCCAGCTCATCTTGCACCTGATCAAGACAAGCAAATGAAAACCCTGTAAGTTCATGTAATATGCTTCAGTCAGGCAAATCAACAAAGAAACTGTACAGAAGATTCAGCTACATGTGCATACCTGATAAAGGTTACTCTCCTCATCCTCATCCTCTTCGAACTCAACAGTAATGCCAATATCATCATCGAGTGGCATGTCTGTGCCATCAACAGAAGGCACACCGGCAGAATTGACGGCGTCATGGAAATCCGTGATGAGCTTCCCAATGGAGACGAGCTGGTGGAACATCTGACCCGAGACAGGGTTGATGAGCTTCTCGATGACCTTCTTCTTGTCAGGGTTCCTGGTCCTGTCGTCCTTGAGGACGGCAAGCACCTCATCCGCGGCATCACCAAGCACGTCGAGGGGCTGCCCGCCGAGCTGCTGCTGGATGACGCTGAGCAGCGCCTCGTAGGCGGTGCGCGTCGCCCTGGTCCGGGGCTTGTAGAGGGCGTCGTGGGCGAGCGAGAGCACGCTGTCCTCGTGCCGCACGGAGCCGCGGCGCATGCGCTTGGCGTCGCGGTGGGGGAGGTCGGCGGAGGCCGCATCGCGCGCCGTCTTCCCGCGGGACCTGCCTCGCTTCTCCTCTAGCCCGGGAGGCTTGGCCCGGACGGCGCGGTCGCCGAAGCTCCTCGCGCGGATCCTGCCGCTGAGCGTCTGGGGCTCGCCGGTGGGCTCGTGGTGCGCGCAGCGGGGCCGCGAGCCGGTGTTGACGACGAGGTTGGAGTTGGCGCCGTAGTCGTACTGCCTCGAGCGCGCGCGCGCCTCGGCGCCACCGCCCGGGCTCTCCATGGCTGCAGCTCGGACCGCGGAAGAGGGGGAGGAATTAGTTGGCACCCACCCAATGTGGATCGAATCGGAGAGGTCGGGCTAGGTTTGGGAGGGAGAGGAGGGAGGGCTCGGGGTCTCCCCGTCGACGCGCGGCTCCTGGGGAGGAGCTGCGGCGTCCGGTGGCGGTGCGTCGTGCCGTATCCTACTCGGCGCGTCGGAGGCGGGGAAGAGGGGTTTGGGTTTTGATCTGTGGCGACGCTGCGGGTGCTATAGGAGACGAGCCATGGTCGGTTGGAGAGGAAGCGCGCGCGGAATCGACTATGGCGAGCGGGCGCGCGGAACCGACTATGGCGCGCGGGCGCGGCCGGAGGCGGCGCAGCGGGTCAACGGGGTCTCGTGGGCTCATGAATAGTCCTGGCCATGGGAAGCCCGGCCCGGCCGGCCCGGCCCGACGCTGTCCACGGGCCGGGCTCGGGCCTAGTTTTTGAGCCCGAAGGCCGGGCCGGACCGGCCCGGGCCCGTCGTTTTTGCCATTTTCTAAAGGTCGGGCTGGGCCGGCCCGAAGCCCGACGGGCTTTTACATGCTCGGGCCCAGAAACACATGCCCGATGGCCGGGCCGGGCCCAGGCCTGAGTTTTTTGTGTCGGGCTTGGCTAGGCCCAGCCCGAAGCCCGGCCCGGCCCGAGGTTTGGCCAGGCATACTCCTGATCACCGGCTCTTCTTCACACTTTCACGGGCAGGCCATCCAAAGCCTAACAAGCTGAGAAGCAGAGGCCCATTTACACGGTGATGGCCAGCACGTTTCCCCTATTCTTTTCCTGGCGTGCTTTCTTTAGAAAAAATAGGTTTCCACCGGTTCATATATTTTTACAAAGGATTGTCAAATCTTAGTCGACTAAGACTAGTCTCGGACAATGTTATATTCGTGAGAGCTTACGCGAAGATTCGTGCAAAAAAAATTAGTTTTTTTTTCTTTTTTCTTTTCTATATGTATGTCACTTAATTAAGACTTGATTAAGTCTCAGTCGACCGAGATCTACACACTCTATAAAAAATGCAACCCAGTTCCTTGGAGTTACATGTTTTCAGTGGGAAGTAGAGTACCTCCTTGTAAGTGCCACAACATCACAATAACATCAACTGGTCAAAGGCAAAAGGACCCAAAAACTAAGCTAACACCATCACCACATGATCACATCTTTGAGAAGGAACTAAAGTAGAGGTCTCGCTAGGCTAATTGGTGTTCTTGAGTAGGTATCGAATCGGGGCTTGTCAGACTCGGTAGATTCACCAAATGATCCTCATTAATTCGCCCGTCTTCTTGTCCAAAATACATATATATTGAGCCCATTAGAGCGAAGTGTGCGGGCTTACATAACAATCTCAACACATGAAACTCCCTTTCTAGGCAGCACCGTACCTCCCCGATGCTTCTCCAGACATCGCCCTAGAAGTACAAGTCATTTTGAATCTTTTTATAAGGTCCACATGGTAGTCACACTAAAAGCATTAAGAACAACACCATAAAATATCTGTATACCACCACTCGAAAACAGAATGCAAGTTTGCGCCTAAAAGATCATAAAGGAACAACCACACATACTACCTACAACATGGTCAACAAAAAGGTCCTCTGCCCATGGAAATTGAATTTTCTTCGCCGCCCACCATATCCCCTCTCCCGATGCTTCGCTAGGCGAGTTCCGGTCCGACCCTCCACCGGTGATGTTGCGGCATCCCCTCTCCAGCTCGGGCTCTGCCTAATCCAAGTGGATGTCGAAGCTAAAAGCCCCCCTTCCCCAATCCAAACATACTAAATCTTTGACCCGATCAGAGAGAAGGCTATATACAATACATAGCATAAACTCTTGATCCAGGACCCCAAAGAGAGATTATAGATGCCCAAGCCTTTGACTGGTCAAACCCCAGTTGGCAAGACGACATAAGTTGGCAGCTCGAGAGCGACGGCCGGCCGGAGGCCAACGGAGAACGAGCATGTGTCGCGCGCAGTTGGAACTCTCTGGTCGCTTCACCGCCGAGACACCTGTGCCCTTTGGCTCCTTTGTTTAGTGCTAAAAAAAGCGTCGCGACTCACTCAGTCACGGGTTAGGTTTGATTCTCCTCAAACTCCAAGGATCAACTGAGCAGCACGGCATGCATGGGACTCCTCACTGCCTGAAACCGTGCCTACCGTTCGTACGCCCGAATCACGTAACGGAACCGTCCGCTGCAACGTCGCAGTCCCCGTGATCGCAGCTCGCTTTCTCCTGTTGCAACGTTAGCGTCCCCGTGAACCGTGTTACGGCGCACGGCGCGGCAGTGTAGCTGTCGGCGCAAAGCTGGACCGTCGATCGCCCGATCGCCCGCACACGGAGAAAACTCGGGTACGGGCTCCTGTTTGGCGCCCTTTCCACCCTCCCCTCAACGCTCGACACGCCACGCGCCCCACCCCGCCGTGCCACGCCACCGCGAATCCGCACCACGCGGCGGCGCCACGCGCCCCTGCCCCGCCCCCAGCTGGCCAGCTTCCCCTCCACGCCTCCCCAACCAACTCGGCGACCGCTCCACTCCGCTCCCGTCCCCTCCAGCCCGCCTAGCGCTCCTGTGTCCTCTCCTGTCACAGAATCCCGCAGATTCCCCTGAACCCGGCGAGGGCGAGCAGAGCAACCCCGCCATGGCCGCGGCGATCCTCCGCCGCCTCAGCCCGGTGGCCTCCCAGCGCGTGCCCCCTCGCCTCCTGCCGCCGACGCTCGCCCGCGGGGTCTCCGACTCCACGGAGCCGCTCACCGTGGAGACCTCGATCCCCTTCACGTCCCACGTCGTGGACCCGCCGTCGCGCGAGGTGACCACCACGCCGCGGGAGCTCGCCGCGGCCTTCCGCGACATGGCGCTCATGCGGCGCGCGGAGATCGCCGCCGACTCGCTCTACAAGGCCAAGCTCATCCGGGGCTTCTGCCACCTCTACGACGGCCAGGAGGCGGTCGCCGTGGGCATGGAGGCCGCCATCACCCGCCGCGACGCCATCATCACCGCCTACCGCGACCACTGCCTCTACCTCGCGCGCGGCGGTGGCCTCGTCGCCGCCTTCGCCGAGCTCATGGGCCGCGTCGACGGCTGCTCCAGGGGCAAGGGCGGCTCCATGCACTTCTACAAGAAGGACGCCAACTTCTACGGCGGGCACGGCATCGTCGGCGCGCAGGTGCCCCTCGGCTGCGGCCTCGCCTTCGCGCAGAGGTACCGGAAGGAGGGCACCGTCACCTTCGACCTCTACGGCGACGGCGCCGCCAACCAGGGCCAGCTCTTCGAGGCGCTCAACATGGCCGCGCTCTGGAAGCTGCCCGTCATACTCGTCTGCGAGAACAACCACTGTCAGTTCTTCTTCAGACTCTTCAGATTCTTCAGAGTGTTCGTCTTTACTGCAGTTTCCAGTTATAATTAACTGTTGGATTTGTTCAGATGGGATGGGGACGGCCGAGTGGAAGGCCTCCAAGAGCCCCGCGTACTACAAGCGCGGGGACTATGTGCCCGGATTGAAGGTACAGACTCGAATTCTGGTCGGTTTGGTTTATCGGAGGGTTGAAGGCAGAGTCGGAAGTGCCCTGCTTCTGATAAAAATTCTGAAGCTGAAAGTTGGTCGTGGTCCGTGGTGTTTGTGTTTCATTTTAAGTAGTTCATATCTTGGTAATGCTGTGATATAATTGTGTTTGATGCAGGTTGATGGTATGGATTTTCTTGCAGTGAAGCAGGCTTGTAAATTTGCCAAAGAACATGTTCTGGAAAATGGACCGATTGTAAGTATTCAGGAGACTTGGACAATTTCTATCTTCTAGATTATGTGCATGTATGTAGTTTGCTAGTATTAATTTCAAATGTACTGCTCATCCAGGGTGCAATGCACCCAGGTTTAGGCACAACTTCTACATGGCCTAAATATAGCATTTCCTTAACTGCAATAATTAAATAGAAAGGCTATTCTCATTCTTTTGCCTAAACGTGTTAAACAGAGTGATTAACATGCATGATCGTGGCATAAACAAATATGTGTCATTTTTCTGAGTGTTTATACATGATTTTCTGAGTTAGGATGAATTGTTAGTATCAGTTCTCTAAATGTTTTTCTGGAATTTTCTAAAATCATTTCTCAGTTAGCCATTGATCAGTTACACACATTGAATGTCAAAGGTTGTAGTAATATTTTTTTCCCTACAGATTATATTTTTAAGATAGCTCATGGGTTCAATGTTCATGTGTATTCTCATGGTGTTTTAGATTCTTGAGATGGACACATATAGATACCATGGACACTCTATGTCAGATCCAGGCAGCACTTACCGCACTAGAGATGAGATTGCAGGAATAAGACAGGTCAAGATGGCTGTTAACTCTCTGCTTGAATTTTGTGTTCTACCAAAGATTGACCTTCTGAGCTTAGTTGTTTGTCATGATATAACAGGAGCGTGATCCGATTGAGCGGGTCAGAAAGCTATTATTGACCCATGACTTGGCAACAGCCCAGGAGCTCAAGGTATGCATTGTAACTAGAAAATTAAGTATCAGAAAGCATATGACCTAGAATGATATCTCATAGTATCTGTTTTGGTGGATTGCACAATGCAGAAAATCTTAAGTAGCTGCATGCTCTTTTTTCACTGTGACAATCTATTCTTTCCTCTAGGACATGGAGAAGGAAATCAGGAAGGAAGTTGACACTGCAATTGCCAAAGCAAAGGTATGAAAGGCAGCTGCTAGATTCCTTAAAAAGGCTTTCCATGTTTTCTTGAAATAAGTGTGCTCATGAGTGCCTTGAACAATTCAATACCTGCAGGAAAGCCCAATGCCGGATACATCCGAACTGTTCAAGAATGTATATGTCAATGACTGCGGTCTGGAGGTAAGCAGATGCCAATCTATTTTTCATGTGTGCATATAACCGATTCACGTATATCGCATTTTCAAAATGTGAAAATCACACTCTTATTACAAGTGCCTTACTGAGATCATAGCTCATTTGACAATGGAGTAGACTTGACAGTTCCAATTTAGCTTCAAGTAACCTTCTGAACTGGATAGGATGATGCATCTTAAACTAATCATCTCTTCGCCTTGATGCAGTCTTTTGGGGTGGACAGGAAGGTGGTGAGAACCGTCCTTCCATAGGCTGCCAAACGAGAAGCTTGGCTCTGTCAGACTGTTCGCCTGGTGTATGGTACGTGCTGGGGAGACATAATAGAGTCCAAGGAATTCGTAGTTAGCTGTATTGTGGACGTTTCTGTCCCTAAATAAGTCTGTATATAGAGACGCATGACCATTCGGACTCTGTACCGCATTGCGCTAGTCATTTCCCAGTCTGTTGCAATCCACTCGAGTGCAATCCACTCGACCAACCATATCCACTCGGAAGATGATTCCTACCTATTGTCACTCGACCATATGAGGAATCACTCGACCTATCGAAGACCAGGAGTCACTCAACACTGCAACGGTCGGACATTCACTCCGTAGTCTTTAAGGTCATTAATAACACTTATGACTGGCGTTATCAGTAACGCCTCTACTTTATGTACATTAAGCCCCTTGTAATGGAGGATGGCTGGGGTCCTGACGCACTCTATATAAGCCACCCCCTCCTCTGGGACAAGGGTTCGCACCCCCTGTAACATCACACATATAATCCAATTGATCGCCTCCGGGCATCGAGACGTAGGGCTATTACTTCCTCCGCGAAGGGCCTGAACTCGTAAATCCCGTGTGTACACCTTCACCATAGCTGAGATCTTGCCTCTCCATACCTACCCCCCTTTCTACTGTCAACTTTAGAACCACGACAGTTGGCGCCCACCGTGGGGCATGTGTCTTAGCGGCTTGTTAATGAAGTTGCAATTTTTTCGATCCCCATCATTATGGTTTCTGGCGGTGGATTGGCTGAAGGCCGCGAGATCCGTCTCGGCGCGCTCGTTTTCATCGCCGACGATTCCGCTTGGCTTTAGGAAGCTCCCCTGGACGTCGAGGCGCTCCCCGTCCGAGGGGCGACGCACTTTCGCGCGTGCGTACGTGGCGTTCTTCTCCGGCAGCCGTTGACCCAGTATCGGTCGGCTCCGATGATGTCTTCTCTCCCTGCTGTTCGCCGCCGCAAGCGATCCGGTCGATCGCGGCTTCAGCGTTGGGTGAAACACGCTGTGGCTTGACATTCGGCCACTCATCAAGTCACGACAATCGAGCCCGACAAAACTCTCCACGACCTGTTCGATCTATCGACTGGCTCTGTCGAGACCGCATCAGAGTGCGATAGCAGTGACCCTGCGGCTGAAGTCTTGATGGTCGACGGACCACGTAGTCCGCCTGGTTTCCGCCGTGATGACGGCGGAGATGGTGGCGGTGATCCGTCACGCGTCCACGAGGAGTACCATCCTGAACCCCTCTCTTCGCAGCAGAGGAAAAAACTTCGGCGGCAACATGGATGCACTCCACACGCCCATCCTTGGAGAAACCCCCGAGGCTCGGGTCTTAGAAGAGGTGCGCTTGGCTAATTTGGCTAAGCACACTCGACTGAGGACCTCCAGCGCGCACTCGACGAGCGTGCTCGGGAGCGGATCCCTGAGTCCAGTCGACGACAGCTTTTCCCGCCTCCACCTAAGGTATACCGCACTCCGATTCAGAATCTCACAGCTGCGGCCCGAATAGTAGAGTCCATTCAACCTTCCCAGTCAGAAGCTGGCAGGGGTCTGATGCAGATCCGGGCCTTACTCCGGGCAGCAGGTGAACAGAACGTAGCACTGTCTCAGTCGCAGAATAGGATTCATAGCAGATCCATGGTGGCAGATATTGTTCAGTCGGCCCACAGTCCAAGATCGCCCCTGCGGCGTGAAGACAGTGAGCAATATGATCACCGACTCGACTGTGACAATCGTCGTCAAGTGCCTACGCCTCCTCCGAGGAGTGCATCTTATGTTCCTCGGCAGTACGATGATAGGCGCCGTCATAGTGGCGAGCACAGAGCACCAGTCGACCCAAGAGAGCCAGGCTTTGATGCAAGATCTATCCTCGTTCGAGGTCTAGTCGACCGGAACAGAGCGCATAGGGAAGACCTTGGCAGGGATCGTCCGACTGGCAGCAGAGTTCACGTTTCGTGTCCAGAGTGTTTCAGTAGGGCCATCAGGGCTGAAGTGATTCCCCCCAATTTCAGGTTGGCGACTGGAGTCAGCAAGTTCACTGGAGAGTCCAAGCCCGAGACTTGGCTTGAGGATTATCGAATGGCTGTGCAGATCGGTGGCGGAAATGATGAAGTGGCAATGAAGCATCTTTCTCTGATGTTGGAAGGGTCAGCCAGAGCGTGGTTGACTCAGTTAGCCCCAGGCAGTATATACAGTTGGGAAGAGCTTGCTCAAATGTTCGTCGGAACTTTTGAGGGCACTTGTAAGCGGCCAGCAGAGTTGACGGAGTTGTAGCACTGTGTGCAAAAACCGAGTGAGACTCTAAGAGATTTCACTCAGAGGTGGACCACTTTACACCACACAGTGGAAAATGTATTTGAGTGTCAAGCAGTGTGTGCCTTCAAGGAAGGCGTTAAATATAGAGAGCTGGTCCTGAAGTTCGATCGGACTGGAGATATGACTCTGACTCGGATGATGGAAATAGCCACCCGGTATGCTAACGGGGAAGAAGAGGATTGACTCCGCAGCGGAAAGGGTAAACCAGTCGGTCAAGACGCCGGCGGGGGTAATTCCAATCAGAAACAGAAGCGTAAGGCCGAGTCTGCAGCACCCGGCGAAATTGCGGTAGTGAGTCAAGGAAAATTTAAAGGAAAACTTAAGGGACCCTGGACCCCTAAGAAGGTAAAAGATCAAGCAGGAAATGATGTGCTGGATTTATCATGTCACATTCATACGAAGAAGGATGAAGAGGGTAATCTGATTTACCCTAAACACACCACTCGTCAATGTCGACTCCTGATCCAACAGTTTCGAGAGAAACAACCTAGTGAGAAGGAAAGAGAGTCGGACAAAGACGAGGATGAAGAAGAAGACAATGGTTATCCCAAAGTCAATTCTACACTGATGATTTTTGCTGATGTTGAGAGCAAAAGTTGATTGAAAGTCATCAACAGAGAAGTAAATATGGTTGCTCCAGCGACGACGACCACATATCTGAAATGGTCACAAACAGCCATCACATTTGACCAGTCTGATCACCCGGCGCGTATAGCCACCCCTGGGAGGCAAGCGTTGGTGGTCGATCAAATGGTCGAAGGCACTCGACTGACCAAAGTACTAATGGATGGTGGTAGCGGCCTGAATATCCTTTATGCTGAAACCTTAAAGGGGATGGGCATTCCGATGTCCAAACTTCGCGAGAGCAATATGAGTTTTCATGGCGTTATCCCTGGAAAGAAAGCCGAATCACTCGGGCAGATCGCCCTTGAAGTGGTTTTCGGTGATTCTAAGAATTACCGTAAGGAAAAGTTGACATTTGAAGTTGTGGATTTCCAGAGTGCTTATCATGCCATTCTGGATAGGCCTGCCTATGCTCGTTTTATGGCTCGACCATGTTACGTGTACCTCAAGCTGAAGATGCCTGGCCCCGGAGGTGTAATAACAGTCACTGGCAATCGGCAGAAAGCAGAGGAATGCTTCCAGAAGGGTTCCAAAATTTCCAATGCACAAATGGCAGCAATTAAATTTCAAGAATATCAGAAGAATGCAGACCCAAGTGATTTGCTCGGAGCTAAGAAACCTGCCACAGATTCTGCATTTCAGTCGTCTAGGGAAATGAAGCCGATTCATATTCACCCGACCGATCTCAATGCTGCACTAACTCATATCTCAACGACGCTCGACAGCAAATAGGAAGAAGCGTTCATCCAGTTCCTCCGTGAGAACTGGGACATCTTCGCATGGAAACCTTCCGACATGCCGGGTGTATCGAGAGAACTGGCTGAGCACCGTTTGCGCGTCGATCCGAAGGTAAAACCTGTCAAAGAGCATCTTCGGCGGTCCGCCGTCCAGAAGAGAAAGGCAATTGGCGAGGAAGTGGCTCAGCTCTTAGCAGCAGAGTTCATCCGAGAGATCTACCACTCTGAGTGGCTTGCCAATGTGGCCATGGTCCCTAAAAAAGACAATAACTTCGTATGTGCATCGATTTCAAGCATATCAATCGGGCCTGTCCGAAAGATTATTTCCCTTTCCCCCGCATTGATCAGATTGTTGACTCGACTATCATCAGATCTGACTGTATGGTCTCGATGAAATAAAAATAGCTTTCATCACCCCATTCGGGTGCTTTTGCTATGTCATCATGCCATTTGGTCTTAAAAATGTCGGCGCCACATTATGATGATGATTCAGAAGTGCCTGCTCACTCAAATCAGTCGGAATGTGGAAGCATACATGGATGACATTGTGGTCAAGTCACGTAAAGGTTCCGACCTGTTGACCGACCTCGCAGAAACCTTTGCCAACCTGAGA